CTTCTGCACCTGCTTGAGTGCAACAGTTGCCCTACGGCCCTGTACTAATGGGTCCGTCGGACTGCAAAAGCCTCTGTGGACGAAGAAGGTCAGACGGCATAAAGCCATCACGTGCATTTATTTGTATTACTTGTCCTTCGAACTAACTGGTGTCGAGAAAGAAGACGCGAGACTCTGTTCTCTCCTTTCTCTATTACTATGATATACGTCGTCGTCACAACAGATTGAGCGGCGGGGGGCTGCTGCGACTCACTCGCGTCGACTTAGTTGCTGCTACTGTTTCGGATGTAGTACGGTTCGTCCTGGAACTCCGGTTCACAGTACGGAAACAGCGTGTCATCGCCCGACGGCGTAAACAGGTGCTTGCCCGCGTCAATCATCACGTACGTGCCCGCAAAGGCGCAGACGACAATGACGACCACGGACGCCCCCTTGTCCCAAACGGACATGGACTTCCAGTACACCCGCAAGGAGATGATCACTGGCAAGAGCAAACAGCTCGTCGTGTGGGCAGTGGCACCCGTGAAGTCCTGGAGGTCGATAAAACGCCTGCGAGCGAGCACAGCAATGAGCACCAGAATGGCGACGATCGCGAGACGCAGAGCCACGTAGCGCAGCGGGTTCTTGCGATACGGCGCGTTCACTTCTTCGGCTGTCATGCCGCCGAACTCGAGCGCAACCCGCAGGTGCGACATCCGTCCCGACTCTTTCTCGACCAGACTCGCAGCCGACGCTTGACGGGGAGTGCGTCCCGTCCGCAGGCGTCGAGTTCTGGAGATACGAGCGCTTCTCCTTCGTCGAGCTCTGGAGATACGAGCGCTTCTCCTGCGTCTCGATATCCATCTCGGTGTTCATCTGGTCCAGCAACTCTCCGTTGAATTGAACCACGTTAGGGCTCTTGTGCATGCCGAGGATCAGCCGCTCGGCCATGAAGAACGGCGGCATCATGAGCGTCGAGAAGGCCATGGAAATGTGGATCTGCATGAACAAGTACGCCATGACCACGGCGCCGCGGTCGGCGCTGAAGCCGAGAGGAGCCAAACCAAGCGGGTCCGACGTGTTCACGATCGAGTAGAGGATGTTGCCTGACAACTGACAACCACCGGCCGTGTAGCCAGCCAGAGCCATGACAACGAAGAGCCCCGAGATGAACGCGATCGTGATCACCACAACACGCGGCATTCGCTGCGGCTGCGAGTGTTCCCGCTGGAGATCGGGGACGACAATGGCAGCTCCGTAGGCCAGTGCGAGGTTCCCGAAACACGTCAAGACTTGATGAACCGACACGGCGGGAGAAGGGACGGAGCCGTGGCCGCGCATGTTCCACTGCAGGACGGACACTGCAATGATGTCGGCGATGATCGTGCCGAGACAACCGGCGAAGGCCATGCCGGAGCTCTCTTTCAGTGTCGGGATCAGACACATGGGGGTGACCATAAGAGCCATGAAGATGATCCAGAAGATCTGACTGAACGAGTCTGGAAACAGGACTTCCAGCATCGTGCTGCCAAGTATGAGGAACGAAATGGGGCACAGGAGACACACCCCCATCTGCGAGACCACCGTGAAGAAACGACCCCATCTGCCGAGAGCCCACTCGCCCAGGTCACCGTACGTCCGCACCGAAGATGGCGCCACGAGCATCACTTTGGACAGTTTGAGCGTCGCGTATGTGTTGGCGAAGACCATGAACGAGAGAGCGACGGTGGCGAACACGGGACCGGCACGCGCGTAATTGGAAGGCATCGCCAGCGAACCGATGCCGCAGACGCAACAGAAGAGATTAAAGGATGTTTTCGCGTCTTCGAGTGTGAAGAAAGCGTCTTTGCCATTGGGTCCGGTCATCGCGGATGGATGGTCGAACGAGATGAGAGAAACGAACGGCCGATGGCGGGGGGGGGCGGGACGTAGTCGGGGACTTGTTCCGGTGAAGAAAATCGTAAAGTGAGCGACTACAGCGCGTGAGACCCTAACGACTCGGACCACAGATCCCTCGATAGGGTCTGCATCTGCAAGCTATGCCTGACGCCGAGCCGGATAGAAGCGATGACACTTGACGGCTCTTCTTTTGCTTCGGGCAAGCGCACGCTCGGTGCGAGTGAAAGCCGTTGCGTTTGTACGAAGTGCCGGGGCCCATTGTGCCAGAGACGCGGTTGAAGTCCAGCTATGCACTCTTTGCAGCCTATCTCACGGATGGACTCGGGCTCAGACTCAGCGCTTTGCGAGCTCCTGTCCCTGCCCTGTTCGCAGCAATGAGCGGTCGCGGCTGCTGTGAGCAGTCGAAACTCGTCCGGCTCGAGATCCGGGGTACCACATGAAGGTCAATCGCGGCGCAGCGACGAAGAAGCGCTGTCGAGTCTGCAGACCAGAGATGTGGAAGTGCCTTTGCGATACGTCACTACACTCGGATGGTCGATTGAGGTCTTCTTATTGACCGTTCGTTCGTAATGGCGTCTCTGGAAGACCGAGTCGCCTATATGGGTGTCCGTTGGTACCGAGACGTAGCATCCAACGATCGTGTGAGGGCCACGTAGACGACGTGTCCTGCAGAGACTTGAAGCATCCCGGTAGTCGGTTTGAGGTCGTCTGCTAGCAAACGCCCTCTCCTTCCCATCTGTAGCCATACAGACCGAAATGTGTGTGGTACTGCTACGTTTCTGCACGGAGCAGCTATTCTTTTTGTTCAGCCAATCATTATCCTTGTTCTCGCGTGACGCACTGCGTATCGAAGACAACAACGGACAGCGACTGGTTACACGCTCCAGTCATGTGGCGCGGCTTTTTTTCGCTTGCCGATCATTACGGCTGCATCAGAGATGCCAGCGATCATCTACATTTGCAATGAATCAATTGGGACCAGATGATACGCCCCTGTAAATCAATTGTCTTGGGTACCGCGTGTACGAGATGTCAAGAATGGGTTCCCCCTGTATCGAGGATGCGTAAGCTGACTGTATGTGTCATGGCACAAATGACAACAATTACAGGACAAGGGCGTCGGCGGCCGCAACGCGGCTTATGCGTGTGAAAAAAGACGAAGCTTGGTCTCGTGTTTCGGCTCCTCACTCACTATCCATCAAATGACAGCATTGGCTGATATGATGCAGCTGTCGAGGCGCATGGGTAGCCCGACTAAGACTCCTTTGCTGGGAAGCATGCTCCAAGACTGGAGGATGTTTCGATCGGGCATGGTGTGTCGGGTGTTCGGGTATTTACGCTGCAGAGCGTTCGTTAAGACCACATGAACGCTATGCGATAGTATGGCTTCGTATTCGATACCCGTTTATTTCATCCAGTCGCTTCGATTTGATTCTCAAGCAGAAGGGCTCGTTCGTGCTTTCTCGATTGCCAGAGAAAGCTCTCACAACTGGCATTTTCACAGAAGTGGACATGCGCAGGACCGACCAAGCATGTTGTGGTGTCGACAATCAAACAAAGCAAGTCTGCGATATCTACTTTTCGGTGATGTTGAGAGAGACCGCTGGCAGGTTTTGCAGCTTTACACACCTGACATTCAGAGTCCTTTGCAATTGGCTGATGCATCTACTAGCACGTAGTCATGATCTCTTACGACGCTACCGATACACAAATGGCATCGCAAAACGTCCAGAACCCACGCGAAGGCTCATCGCGCGCACTAAGAGCACACATGCGTTTATGCTGACGGTAGATACTGGAAGTGTGATGTAATTTGGGTCTCGGTGCTGGCAGCGTGACCGGGCGCCGCGCTTATACTGCAACAACACAGGCTACACTTCTCTGACAACAGTGTAGGCAGATGCGTCGAAACTGTACGTCACAAAAGAGTGCAGAGGAAGCTGGACGTCTTACGGACATGTAATCGAGTCATGATCTTTTCTTTATAGGTCCATAATTTGGTACAATAAAAGATGAAAATTTATGGGTACTTCCACCTCAACATCCGATCAGTTTTCGATCTCCGCTACATGATAAAGCATTCCACTTACCCAGCTTAAGCTATATCGGAGGGAGCACGTTATTAGGCAACTAGAAATCTATCGCACCTGTGCAGCAGATCTTCCGTGTTGGGGATTTTTTCGAGATCGGTGACACCGGTCCGCCTGCTTCCCGTTACGATCTAAGTACCACTTTCAGCAGATTTTGGCCAGAAACTTATCTTTGTTTCGACAACATGACGTCGCTTCAGTCGGTATCAGCTGAATGCTCTCACAACTTTGCGCACAAGTTGTTTCGAAAAGGAAGTCCCGTGATGTCTGCACGATCAACAGTTTCTACACGATCAACAGCTTCTACACGATCAACGAAGTTTTGTGGAGGCGAGAGTGGCGAGATATAGCGTCAATCTCGCTTCTACTCAGCTGGTTCAACCTGGGTGGCAAGTCATTGGAGCTAAACCGTATCGATTACGGGGACGCTGTTGCGTCCAGTATCGTAGACTCGCAGACGATGGGCTGAGCGGCAACACGACCATCCGAGCATACTGACGTATCGCAAAGCGACTGTAACGTCTGGAGATCGTACAGTTCACAGCGCTTGATCTGCATGTGGTGGTCCAGATCTTGAGCTAGACGAGCCTCTGCCAGCTTTGCTATCCTCTGCTTCAACATCAAGTTACTGCAAACAGGGCAGGGACAGGAGCTCGCAAAGCGCTGAGTCTGAGCCCGAGTCCATCCGTGAGATAGGCTGCAAAGAGTGCATAGCTGGACTTCAACCGCGTCTCTGGCACAATGGGCCCCGGCACTTCGTACAAACGCAACGGCTTTCACTCGCACCGAGCGTGCGCTTGCCCGAAGCAAAAGAAGAGCCGTCAAGTGCATCGCTTCTATCCGGCTCGGCGTCAGGCATAGCTTGCAGATGCAGACCCTACCGAGGGATCTGTGGTCCGAGTCGTTAGGGTCTCACGCGCTGTAGTCGCTCACTTTACGATTTTCTTCACCGGAACAAGTCCCCGACTACGTCCCGCCCCCCCCCCGCCATCGGCCGTCGTCCCTCTCATCTCGTTCGACCATCCATCCGCGATGACCGGACCCAATGGCAAAGACGCTTTCTTCACACTCGAAGACGCGAAAACATCCTTTAATCTCTTCTGTTGCGTCTGCGGCATCGGTTCGCTGGCGATGCCTTCCAATTACGCGCGTGCCGGTCCCGTGTTCGCCACCGTCGCTCTCTCGTTCATGGTCTTCGCCAACACATACGCGACGCTCAAACTGTCCAAAGTGATGCTCGTGGCGCCATCTTCGGTGCGGACGTACGGTGACCTGGGCGAGTGGGCTCTCGGCAGATGGGGTCGTTTCTTCACGGTGGTCTCGCAGATGGGGGTGTGTCTCTTGTGCCCCATTTCGTTCCTCATACTTGGCAGCACGATGCTGGAAGTCCTGTTTCCAGACTCGTTCAGTCAGATCTTCTGGATCATCTTCATGGCTCTTATGGTCACCCCCATGTGTCTGATCCCGACACTGAAAGAGAGCTCCGGCATGGCCTTCGCCGGTTGTCTCGGCACGATCATCGCCGACATCATTGCAGTGTCCGTCCTGCAGTGGAACATGCGCGGCCACGGCTCCGTCCCTTCTCCCGCCGTGTCGGTTCATCAAGTCTTGATGTAACGGGGCAGCCCGTTACATGAAATTGTCACTTTAAGGAAAGTGACAATAAAGAATATAAAGATGGATATTCTTTAAACAATATCACCAAAGTGGTGATATTGAAGGGTCGACCAAAGGGTCTGTTCATTGGTTGATATCGTGATGATATCAACCCACCAATCGCCGCAAGACGCGCGCAATGAGTGGTGACGAGACGTCACCATACATGCAGTTATATTAGTATAATTGAATTAAGTCAAACGAAGAGACAGTAGTTTAAAGACTTAATTTATTAATATAACAGTTCTACTTTTACCCTACCTACGCTTCCTCGCTCGCCACGTGTACGTCCGTCGGGGCACCCAAATCCCTTGCGTTAAGTTACGCAAGGGTGTGCCCCGTTACACCTGGTAGCACTTTGTAGTCCTTCCAAGGACCACATCATCCAACATGAACATGTTGGATGAAGAAGACACCTTTCACGCCACGCGTGAAGGGTTTACCCATTTGAGTGACATCGAATGGGGTGCGGTAGAACGAATGAGTTCTACCGTAGGCGAACTCGTCGTCAGCACCATGTTGGAGTCTCTAGACAGAGACCAACAACATGCTGCTATCGCCAAGTTCATTCACAATGAACTTGCTCTCGAGAGGGAGAAAGTAGCCTTGCTTCACCAGCAAGGCTCTCAACAGGCCGAGCAGTTGAGAGAACTCGGTGCTCAACAGACGGAGCTGTTGAGACAGCAGCAATTCCATGCTGCTGTGGGCGGGACGGCGCATGCGCGTCGTCCCGAAGTGATGAAAGTCGACATCTCCAAGTACAGTGGAGTCCCGGAGGACTCCCTGTTACTATGGTTTGTCGAACTCGACAGAGCCCTAAGGGCTCGTCGCGTCGAAGATGAGCAAATGAAACTCACATTTGCTCAGACCCACTTGGCAGGGCGTGCCAAAACTTGGTCCCTGGGACTCGAGAGTAGCGACCCAAACGTGTTTAGGTCGCTAGATGACTTCAAGTCCCGGCTCAGACAAACGTTTGAGCCGCCACGTGCTGAGTTCAGGGCTCGTTCAGAGCTCCTGAAACTCAAGCAGGGTAAGCGTGATGTGCACGCTTACGCACAACATATACGACTCCTTGCGAGTAGTATAACTGCAAACCCAGTTCATGAACACACGTTGATTACGGTGTTCATGCAAGGGCTCGCAGAAGGGCCCGTCAGGAGCCACCTGTTCCGCCTTGAGCTGAATACGCTTGAAGAAGCGATATCAGCCGCGGAACAGGAAGACTTTAGCATGAGACAGGCTCATGCTAGCTCAAACTCTTACCGTCCACCGAGACGACAAGAGATCGGAGGTCCAGAACCAATGGACCTCTGTTATGTTGAGAGCGAGAGACCTCGCTCTACAAGCAACAAGCGATTGCAGAGGTGCAATCGCTGTCAGAAGTTAGGGCACTACGCATACGAGTGTAGTGCTCCACGCCCAGTACCAAACAGTACTGAGCGAAATGGACGACCATTCGCCAGAAAGGGCAATGGGCGTGGGTCCAGCGCTGTTGCGAAGCCGCAACAGCGAGACGGACCATCAAAAAATGGTCGGGGTCAGTAGGGGCGGAGCGCCCTACTGATCCAGCAACCTCAAGAGAATTTGCAAATCTCTTGACGAAAGTTGCTCCAGATACACAATCATTGTGTGTCTCTGCACCTGGTGATGACGTTTCGCTCATCACCTTGAAGTTGGAAGCGACAAATGATTTGTCGCTTCGTGCCCTAGTAGACTGTGGGGCGTCGAACAACTTTGTTCGTCGCCAGTCACTAGAGGGTCGTAGGCTCAAGTTCGTTGAGCGCGACATTCCCCTCACAAGGATGACGGTGCGCCTTGCAACAGGCGCATCGATAACCGTTGAGAAACGTGTAGTAGGAATCCACTACACGTTAGAGGGCGAGCAGTACGATGATGATTTCATCGTACTAGATCTGGATGACAAATTTGATGTCATCCTGGGATTACCTTGGCTCAGAAAATACGAGCCAAGGGTGAGCTGGCAGCATCGATCCGTGAAGATGCCTGCTGCTTGTTCATCAGATGGCCATCTGATGAACATCTTGGAGCGTCCACAAGCGTGTGGATGTTCTGCGAGTGAGTGCGATGGCCTCACTTGCGGTACGGTCGTTAGCACGACTGCACAAGATCACAGTGTAGTTGATCACTACACTGTGGAGCAAGCTCCCGGCGGCTGTACAGAAGTACAGGCTGCGCCGAAGGTCCACCACTCGAATAAGTCGAGTGGACCGGGACATGGATGCATGCCTAGCGGGCAGCATCTTAGAAGAAAGAAATCTGTTGCCCCCAAGGGGCAACATGAAAATCCTAGGTCGACTGGAGAGTCGACCGTAGAGGATCGGTTCCTGACTGTGGTTGCACAGCCACAGTCGGAAGACGTCGAGGGAATAAGTCCCCACGTACTTGAGGAAGGAATTCCTCAAGAGTTGCTTGCTGAGGGATCAGGCCCTCAGCAACCTGTGGAAGCAAGTTCCCAGGAAGAAACCGAGACGTTGAACGTCTTGGTTAATGACGGATCAAGCGTAGGCGCTTATACGCTTGATCTGATTGTGCCTCCGAAGTTGACTTCGGAGATAACTCAGTTGCCAACGCTAGAACCGAAACGGTTCTTGCGTGATCTGCGTAGTGGCAAAGTCAAGCAGATCTGCATACTCGTCACAGAGGACGAGTATGTGACCGACATTCGGTCGGCAACAGTATTTGCTGAGAACGAACGGGTTCTCAGCAGCTCATCGATGGACGAAAGTGTCCTCGATGAGAAGACTCGGATTGAGCGATACGCGTCCCAATCCTGGGAGTCACTTCAGGCAAATCCTTTGTATAAGGATTTGATCGAATTCAGGGATGTGTTCCCTGAATCCGTACCTTGCGAGTTGCCTAAGGACAAAGGCACTCGACACGAGATCGAGCTCAAACCGGGCTCGAAATACTGTGTCATGAAGCAGTGGCCACTGCCTCGTGAACAAGTGATAGCGATCGACAAGTTCTTTGCCGATCGCTTAGCAGCGGGCCATGTGAGGGAATCAACATCCCCTCACAGCTCTCCGACCTTCTGTGTGCGAAAGGCCACAGGAGGGTGGCGGATAGTGCACGCATTCAACAAGTTGAATGCTGCAACGGTACCGGCTCAGACGCCGATACCGAGGAAGGACGTAATCATAGATGGTATGTCAAAGAGTACCATCTTTTCGTCCATGGATCTGATGGATGGATTCTATCAGATCCTGATGCGTGAACGGGACGTCCCGTTCACGGCAGTGAGTACCCCCAGCGGGATGCTGTGGGAGTGGCTAGTGATGCCACAGGGGCTGAGTAATGCCCCTGCAACATTCAACAGATGTGTAACAAATCTGTTGAGACCGGTGCGAGACTTCGCACCGAGTTACTTCGACGATGTGTTCGTCCATAGCCGGGCTATGGACGGAAAGACGGACGTTGAAGTTCACAGAACTCACGTTCGTCAGGTTCTTCAACTTATGCGCAAGCATAAGTTGTACGCCAACCTCAAGAAGTGTATATTCGCGGCTAGCGAAATACCACTTCTTGGGTGCATCGTGGGGAAACACGGCGTACGCCCTGATCCCGAAAAGATCAAGGCGATCACCGACTGGCCAGTGCCAGTCGATGTCAAGGGACTAAGGAAGTTCCTTGGTCTTGCGGCGTACTTGCACAAGTACTCGCGCAACTACGCCGAGATGACTGTTCATCTTTCTTGCTTGCTCAAGAAAAATGTCAAGTGGTCATGGAACGCTGAGTGCCAGCGTTCCTTTGAAGGTATCAAGCAAAGCTTGATGCAATCGCCGATCTTGGCGATTGCAGATCAGGACAGACCATTTCATGTGGTCTGTGACGCCAGCGATTTCGCAATCGGCTGTGCGTTAATGCAGTTCGATGCAGATGGCGCGGAGCGCGTCATCTGTTATCAGTCGCGTCAGCTGCAAGCAGCTGAGCGTAATTACCCAGTGCATGACAAGGAACTCCTTGCCATGAAATACGCACTGGCTAAGTTTCGCGTCTATCTCTTGGGAGATAGACCGTTTGTTGTCTACACGGACCATGCGTCATTACGCACGGCCGTAAACAGCCCACACCTCTCGCAAAGAATGGCGAGGTGGCTGTCTTTCTTCGCGGAGTATAACTTCTCCGTGGAGTATAAACCGGGACGACTCAATGTCGTCGCGGATGCTCTTTCGCGCCGGCCCGATTTCGAGCCGGACGCACAATCCAACAGTGAGGATAAGCCCACTGTTGCGACACTGTCAGTCAGTGTCCCGTCGTCAAGTTTACTTGACGACGTACGAAAGGCATACGCGGAAGATAAGGATCTTCTGCGATTGATGGATCATCTGGTGAATCCATCCAGTAAATCCATGAGGGATTTACCGGCTTTGTACCGATCCTCATCGGATCGGTATAGTACACGCAACGGATTGCTGTACTATACAGCTGTTGCCGACGACACGCCTCGTGTCGTCGTACCCGCTCATCATGATTTGCGATTGCGCATCATGTATGAGTGTCACGATGCCCCAACAAGCGGCCATCGTGGTAGAGAAAAGACTTACCTCACGGTAAGTCGCGACTTTTACTGGCCCCGCCAGTATCAGTTTGTTCGCAAGTACATCCGTGCTTGCGAAGTTTGTCAACGGGTGAAGCCTAGTCCTTCATCCCGTGCGCCATTGCAGCCTCTGCCTGTTCCGACAGAGTGCTGGCAGTCCGTTTCAATGGACTTCGTCTTCGGGTTTCCCGAAGACGCTCACAAGAATAATGGTATTCTTGTGTTTGTAGACCGATTCAGCAAGATGGTCCATCTTGCTGCTGTCCCTGAGTCAATCAAGGCTCAAGGTTGTGCTCGTGTCTTTCTAGACACGGTCTTTAGACTCCACGGGTTACCCCGTGAACTCGTATCCGACCGTGACCCTCGGTTCACGGCGGAATTTTGGCAAACCGTGTTCCGTACTCTCGGAACACGATTGAAGATGTCCACTTCTGACCATCCAGAAACAGATGGTCAGACGGAACGTGCGAACCGTGTCCTCGAAGAGATTCTTCGAGGATATGTCCACTCGTTTCCGAGTTGGAGCGAATTCCTACCCATGGTGGAATTCGCCATCAATAATTCGGTGCATGCTTCAACACAGCACACACCGTTTTACGTGAATGGCCTACGCCATCCACGAGTGCCCACCCTTCTAGAGTGTGACTCTTGGATAAGGGGGGAGGGACTCGCTCGAGCAAAAACCGTTTTGGCTCTTGCTCATCACGTGTCGACGCAAACGTCGTCACGTATGATGCCGATGTCGATCAAGTCGACATCGATGAAGAAGATCATCTCAATAATAGCGAAGACGCTATTATTGATTCGGATGATGATGACGATGCTGGTATATTCAGCATCGCCAACGATTATGTCAGCGAGGAAGAAGACAACCTCGCTGAAGAAGAGAGCAATCTCTTAGCAGTGCGCACGAAGCGCACTGCCAGACAAAACAAAGAGTCAGCAGAGAACTTCCTGCTGACTCGAGAAGCGGTAGTCCGTTTCGTTCAGGACTCCATCGCAAATGCGGTGGACCGTCAGAAACGGAACGCAGACAAGAATGGAAGAGCAAATGTTCTTTCATTTAAGGTTAATGACCTAGTACTACTGTCAACGGTAAACCTACCTGGACATGCAGTCACTAGTGTCGGCAGTAGTAAACTACTGCCGAAATACATTGGGCCATTTCGAGTGTTGCATCGCAAGGGCAATGCATACACACTCGAATTGCCACGTAGGATGCGCACGCATCCTACGTTTTACGTGGGGAGGCTTAGGTCGTACTGTCAGTACGAGCCTTCTTCTTCCGATGAAGATAGCCCCCACGTTCAAGAACATCCATCAAGTTCTTGCGTTCGCGCTCCAGACGATCCGTCTGGTCGCGCAGATATGATACCTCGGTATTCAACCGAGTTATCTCTCCGCGAGCTGTCGCCAGCTCGCCGAAAAGGGAGCGGACATCCCGCTCGACCTGAAGCTGCGCCGTGGCATAATCGGCGCGATCCCTCGCCCGATCAGCCTCGTGACCCTTGCGGTTCTTCCGCACGGTGTCGGTCAAAGCGTAGCGTCGGTCGCGCTCGTGCTTCAAGTCATCGCGCAATTCATCGATTGCGCGATCCATCTCGTAAGGGTCGAGATGGTGGGCCTGGGGTTCTGGAGGAGGTCTTTCCTCCTCCACCACATCCTTTGGTGGATGCTCACGGTGATCAACGCTTTCTAGTGGAGCGTATCTTGAATCACCGTGACGATTCAGGATCAAGGACGAGCTACCTCGTCCAGTGGCGGGGGTATCCACCCTCTTGGAACAGCTGGGAGCCCCGCTCTCAGCTGTTGATGGATGTTGAAGGTCTCGTCCGCCAGTATGACGAGACCCATCCGATGAGTCCTGTGGCCCATCGGTAAACACGCGCCCTAGGCGCTTGTAGACGGATTGCAAGTTTGCAATCGCGTCACGCATCTCAGCCGAGATGTGTGCCCTTCCCCAGGGCGAATTTAGGGAGTACACATCCCTATGTGCACGCTGCGAGTTGTCAACACAACTCGCACAAGGGTCTCCCCATGTGAGGCAAGGAATGCCTGCCTCACTAGATAAACAATGCAACCGGTACCTAGCACCGGTTGGCGTTCGCCGTTCGAACCTGAGGCGTGTTGCCTCAAGTTTCTTGAGCCACCCCTCTCGTCCAAAATTCTTGACGTTTTGGACGAACGCGTTCCACGCAGCCAAAAGCGATGTTTTGTCACGCTTTTGGTTGCTATTGTACCATCGATGTCTAAGGAAGACATCGAGATAAAAGTCTTCTTCAGCGCGAAAGTTCTTCGCGCTGGAACTCAAGCCGTGAAGCTCGGTTGCATCGAATAAGGGTATTCGATGGTGTTGGCCTGTCTCGTGAGACAGGCTATTGATGAGTTGTTCGGGCAAACGCCACGGCTTCAACTCATCACGCTTCACAGTGGTACCCTTGTCGGTACCACGGCTCCCAGATTGACGACGGCTCGCGCCATCGTCATCACGCTCGTGCGAAGACGCACGAGCCGGCGGTGGTGAAGAATAGAACTCACCACCCTGATCATCGTCATCACTGCCGAACAGACTGTGATGCAAATCACGAGTCCGTTCGTTCGGCAGTGGTCTTGGCGAATACTGAGGCGTCGCCGGTGAGCGAGACGCCTCTGGAGCATTGCCCGAGTCAGACACGTCTGACTCGCCAGAGTAGATGACCTCCACATCGGGGTCATCGTGCGCACGCGGCGTGATACCGCGTGCACCTGCAGCACCTGTTGCTGCAGGCGAAGAAGGGGCGGCAGACGACGAAGCGTCTGCCGCAGAGGCTTGCACAGCACCAGGCTGTGTGGGTCTTGAGTCACCTCGCATAGACATGTTAACTATGCGAGGTCAAGCGGAAAGTGAGTGGAACGGACCAAACAAGTGCTCCCTGTCCCAATGGTGGCCAACGGGTGGCCTCCATATTTCGATAGTCACACGGTGACTATCAGTTAAGGGGGGGTGATGTAACGGGGCAGCCCGTTACATGAAATTGTCACTTTAAGGAAAGTGACAATAAAGAATATAAAGATGGATATTCTTTAAACAATATCACCAAAGTGGTGATATTGAAGGGTCGACCAAAGGGTCTGTTCATTGGTTGATATCGTGATGATATCAACCCACCAATCGCCGCAAGACGCGCGCAATGAGTGGTGACGAGACGTCACCATACATGCAGTTATATTAGTATAATTGAATTAAGTCAAACGAAGAGACAGTAGTTTAAAGACTTAATTTATTAATATAACAGTTCTACTTTTACCCTACCTACGCTTCCTCGCTCGCCACGTGTACGTCCGTCGGGGCACCCAAATCCCTTGCGTTAAGTTACGCAAGGGTGTGCCCCGTTACATTTACCCTACCTACGCTTCCTCGCTCGCCACGTGTACGTCCGTCGGGGCACTCCAAATCCCTTGCGTTAAGTTACGCAAGGGTGTGCCCCGTTACACTTGACGTGTTTTGGGAACCTCGCACTGGCCTACGGAGCTGCCATTGTCGTCCCCGATCTCCAGCGGGAACACTCGCAGCCGCAGCGAATGCCGCGTGTTGTGGTGATCACGATCGCGTTCATCTCGGGGCTCTTCGTTGTCATGGCTCTGGCTGGCTACACGGCCGGTGGTTGTCAGTTGTCAGGCAACATCCTCTACTCGATCGTGAACACGTCGGACCCGCTTGGTTTGGCTCCTCTCGGCTTCAGCGCCGACCGCGGCGCCGTGGTCATGGCGTACTTGTTCATGCAGATCCACATTTCCATGGCCTTCTCGACGCTCATGATGCCGCCGTTCTTCATGGCCGAGCGGCTGATCCTCGGCATGCACAAGAGCCCTAACGTGGTTCAATTCAACGGAGAGTTGCTGGACCAGATGAACACCGAGATGGATATCGAGACGCAGGAGAAGCGCTCGTATCTCCAGAGCTCGACGAAGGAGAAGCGCTCGTATCTCCAGAACTCGACGCCTGCGGACGGGACGCACTCCCGTCAAGCGTCGGCTGCGAGTCTGGTCGAGAAAGAGTCGGGACGGATGTCGCACCTGCGGGTTGCGCTCGAGTTCGGCGGCATGACAGCCGAAGAAGTGAACGCGCCGTATCGCAAGAACCCGCTGCGCTACGTGGCTCTGCGTCTCACGATCGTCGCCATTCTGGTGCTCATTGCTGTGCTCGCTCGCAGGCGTTTTATCGACCTCCAGGACTTCACGGGTGCCACTGCCCACACGACGAGCTGTTTGCTCTTGCCAGTGATCATCTCCTTGCGGGTGTACTGGAAGTCCATGTCCGTTTGGGACAAGGGGGCGTCCGTGGTCGTCATTGTCGTCTGCGCCTTTGCGGGCACGTACGTGATGATTGACGCGGGCAAGCACCTGTTTACGCCGTCGGGCGATGACACGCTGTTTCCGTACTGTAAACCGGAGTTCCAGGACGAACCGTACTACATCCGAAACAGTAGCAGCAACTAAGTCGACGCGAGTGAGTCGCAGCAGCCCCCCGCCGCTCAATCTGTTGTGACGACGACGTATATCATAGTAATAGAGAAAGGAGAGAACAGAGTCTCGCGTCTTCTTTCTCGACACCAGTTAGTTCGAAGCACAAGTAATACAAATAAATGCACGTGATGGCTTTATGCCGTCTGACCTTCTTCGTCCACAGAGGCTTTTGCAGTCCGGCGGACCCATTACTACAGGGCCGTAGGGCAATTGTTGCACTCAAGCAGGTGCAGAAGTGCAGCAGTTGCAAAAGAGTTGCTCCTTGTCGAGCGTGCAGACATAGACTGCTTCCACCGCATTGACTAGACCAAAGTCGATTCACAGCGAAGGAAGGAGAGGCAATGGACATATATGCAGGAAAGCCCCAGTCACTTATGACAGAGCCTGAGTCGTCGTCATGGGTCATGGCGATTCATGACTCGCCCATCAAGTAGCGACGGGATATGGTCGCATTTGCCACTTCATTGACGGTAGGGAGACACTTCTAGCTGACTTTTGCAATAACCCATCGATTTTTTCGATGATAAAGCATGCAAGTTGTGTGTTTAAATTGTGATATCAATGGGGATAATGTCGGTTTCTTCTTCTGCACCTTCAGACATTGAAGCAACGCTACATATTGAAGAACATGTGACACCACACTATAGCTCTACCTATGAGTCCTTCGTTGACGGGTTCTGCAATTTGGATGATATCGGTAACGGGGTGAACCGTTACATAAAATGGATATCTTGGTATCAATTTTTGAACATTATCTATTTAGATAATGTTCAATTGACATTACTCGTAAGGAGTAAGGTTGAAGGAATATTACCCCCGAGGGTAATCTTTCTTTGATGGGTTTTTCCACCTGATGGTTGATGTTCACGGTACATCAACCAGATTAACCACCAATCGCTGCTGGACGCGCGCATAGGGTGATGAGCAAGAAACCCACATAGTAGATTGTAGTTTAGCATAGTTAGATCAAGACAAAAAATGGTTTATTAAGAAAACACAACTATATTAGATACAGTTCTACTTTTTCCCTTAGACAGAGCCTTCAAGTTCTGCCGATTCGCTGTGCTTCCTCACGCCACGTGTACGTGGAGGAGTTTCATGACCGTCTATTTACATTTTAAAATGAGCAAGATGTCTGAAAGGTTCTGAGCTAGGATACTAGTGCCGGTGAAGGCACCGCATCGTGGTGAATTTCGAATGCGGTCGAGTGCCGTGTAGGTTCATGGCTTAGCAATCCAATATAAGCGTTTAACAGAGCCTCCTTGACGGCATGTTCTGCCGACCTGTGTTCCCGTAATGCAATCGCCCGTGGATGCCGCATACTATGGTCCCAGAATGTCAACGCACTCCGCAATGTATTTGTCAATTCTGCGCGGAATACTGCTGCATTACGCTCCGTCCACAGGTGCACTTGGCAAGCGGAACTTAGGATAAACTAGATGCGCCGGAAAGTGTCCTCGGCTTCGAGATAGCCATCTTGAAAACGATGCTGCAAACGCTGGCGGAGATGTTGTGACACCGGTGGTGCCTGAAGATCAGCGCAATTTCGGAAATGGTTCGACAGACCGTACCGTTCCACGCCCTCCCCGGTCCAATATCCAATTAGTTGCCGCCAACAAGCTTGCGCGGTCGGAGACCCCGAAAATATGAGCCGCTGTCTCTTTCAAACCCTTACATCGCTCGAGTTTTCTGCAGCTGTTATCAGCGGGGCGCCCCGCATGATGAAGATTTAGCTGATTTGTCGCGACTCTGTAGCAGGTCCAGACCTAATACTCAGCCAGACTATGCGCATGTTGCCAGAGCTGCGACGTCTGATGATGTGCAGCCGCTGCAAGCCACACATCGGACCTCGTGTGGCCTTCGAAGCGGGTGAGCCAGGCAAGGAGTGCCGGGCCAAGCAGACGTTTATGATACTGAAATGCCTGCCGGAGGAGCGCTTTTTAGAGATGTATGTTGGCCACGGACTCCGGCACACTCCAAGGAAATCCATGGAGCAGCGGATGGGCGAGAGAAACGAGTCCCCACGATATTTGCTGCCGCCAGAAATTCGCCTCGCGCGTAGAAGCATACTCGAAATCGGGTAAATCTCCCGGACAAACAAACCAATGGAGCCCGCTGTCGCCAAGATGTAGGCGTAAGGGGGGCAGCAGGTAGGATTATATCGTGAAGTTTCTCGACCACCAAATTGTCACTGATACGGATCCACCGGTAATCACGCAGGAGTGGAGGAGGGTGTCTTAATGTTTATTCCGGCGCTGCCAACCCTGAACCAACGCCGATGACCGGAGAAGCAAGCGAATTTGTGGCTTCCTATCGCCGCAATTTCGGGTGAAGATGGCGTAGTGACTCGTCGCTGGACCGAGGCCTTGTAAAAACAAACTGCCGATGTCCGGTATGATGAATGTTAAAGACGCGTAATTGGCAGGGTGATATGTGTGCAAACCTGGAGACCTGAGGAGGATTGCCGGTGATATCGACAATCAACGGGTTGTTATTCAAGTGGAATTGGTCCCAAAAACGCTTTATAGCCCTCTCTCTCGGATTGTAACGGGGCAGCCCGTTACATGAAATTGTCACTTAAGGAAAGTGACAATAAAGAATATAAAGATGGATATTCTTTAAACAATATCACCAAAGCGGTGATATTGAAGGGTCGACCAAAAGGGTCTGTTCATTGGTTGATATCGTGATGATATCAACCCACCAATCGCCGCAAGACGCGCGCAATGAGTGGTGACGAGACGTCACCATACATGCAGTTATATTAGTATAATTGAATTAAGTCAAACGAAGAGACAGTAGTTTAAAGACTTAATTTATTAATATAACAGTTCTACTTTTACCCTACCTACGCTTCCTCGCTCGCCACGTGTACGTCCGTCGGGGCACCCAAATCCCTTGCGTTAAGTTACGCAAGGGTGTGCCCCGTTACACCTGGTAGCACTTTGTAGTCCTTCCAAGGACCACATCATCCAACATGAACATGTTGGATGAAGAAGACACCTTTCACGCCACGCGTGAAGGGTTTACCCATTTGAGTGACATCGAATGGGGTGCGGTAGAACGAATGAGTTCTACCGTAGGCGAACTCGTCGTCAGCACCATGTTGGAGTCTCTAGACAGAGACCAACAACATGCTGCTATCGCCAAGTTCATTCACAATGAACTTGCTCTCGAGAGGGAGAAAGTAGCCTTGCTTCACCAGCAAGGCTCTCAACAGGCCGAGCAGTTGAGAGAACTCGGTGCTCAACAGACGGAGCTGTTGAGACAGCAGCAATTCCATGCTGCTGTGGGCGGGACGGCGCATGCGCGTCGTCCCGAAGTGATGAAAGTCGACATCTCCAAGTACAGTGGAGTCCCGGAGGACTCCCTGTTACTATGGTTTGTCGAACTCGACAGAGCCCTAAGGGCTCGTCGCGTCGAAGATGAGCAAATGAAACTCACATTTGCTCAGACCCACTTGGCAGGGCGTGCCAAAACTTGGTCCCTGGGACTCGAGAGTAGCGACCCAAACGTGTTTAGGTCGCTAGATGACTTCAAGTCCCGGCTCAGACAAACGTTTGAGCCGCCACGTGCTGAGTTCAGGGCTCGTTCAGAGCTCCTGAAACTCAAGCAGGGTAAGCGTGATGTGCACGCTTACGCACAACATATACGACTCCTTGCGAGTAGTATAACTGCAAACCCAGTTCATGAACACACGTTGATTACGGTGTTCATGCAAGGGCTCGCAGAAGGGCCCGTCAGGAGCCACCTGTTCCGCCTTGAGCTGAATACGCTTGAAGAAGCGATATCAGCCGCGGAACAGGAAGACTTTAGCATGAGACAGGCTCATGCTAGCTCAAACTCTTACCGTCCACCGAGACGACAAGAGATCGGAGGTCCAGAACCAATGGACCTCTGTTATGTTGAGAGCGAGAGACCTCGCTCTACAAGCAACAAGCGATTGCAGAGGTGCAATCGCTGTCAGAAGTTAGGGCACTACGCATACGAGTGTAGTGCTCCACGCCCAGTACCAAACAGTACTGAGCGAAATGGACGACCATTCGCCAGAAAGGGCAATGGGCGTGGGTCCAGCGCTGTTGCGAAGCCGCAACAGCGAGACGGACCATCAAAAAATGGTCGGGGTCAGTAGGGGCGGAGCGCCCTACTGATCCAGCAACCTCAAGAGAATTTGCAAATCTCTTGACGAAAGTTGCTCCAGATACACAATCATTGTGTGTCTCTGCACCTGGTGATGACGTTTCGCTCATCACCTTGAAGTTGGAAGCGACAAATGATTTGTCGCTTCGTGCCCTAGTAGACTGTGGGGCGTCGAACAACTTTGTTCGTCGCCAGTCACTAGAGGGTCGTAGGCTCAAGTTCGTTGAGCGCGACATTCCCCTCACAAGGATGACGGTGCGCCTTGCAACAGGCGCATCGATAACCGTTGAGAAACGTGTAGTAGGAATCCACTACACGTTAGAGGGCGAGCAGTACGATGATGATTTCATCGTACTAGATCTGGATGACAAATTTGATGTCATCCTGGGATTACCTTGGCTCAGAAAATACGAGCCAAGGGTGAGCTGGCAGCATCGATCCGTGAAGATGCCTGCTGCTTGTTCATCAGATGGCCATCTGATGAACATCTTGGAGCGTCCACAAGCGTGTGGATGTTCTGCGAGTGAGTGCGATGGCCTCACTTGCGGTACGGTCGTTAGCACGACTGCACAAGATCACAGTGTAGTTGATCACTACACTGTGGAGCAAGCTCCCGGCGGCTGTACAGAAGTACAGGCTGCGCCGAAGGTCCACCACTCGAATAAGTCGAGTGGACCGGGACATGGATGCATGCCTAGCGGGCAGCATCTTAGAAGAAAGAAATCTGTTGCCCCCAAGGGGCAACATGAAAATCCTAGGTCGACTGGAGAGTCGACCGTAGAGGATCGGTTCCTGACTGTGGTTGCACAGCCACAGTCGGAAGACGTCGAGGG